GAGTCAAAGTAAATATATGTTTTTTTTGTTTTGTTTTTTTATGATAATTTTTAATAAAAAGAATGATTGTAAGTCATGTAGATTTACAGAGAAGAATAAGTTTCTAATTTAGATGTAGAACTCACGAATTGTACAAACTGGAGATCTGAAAATGAATATGTATATTTGAGTATCAAAACCGCGTTTTTTTTCAAAATTATTAATTTTATACGCCCGATATTTTAAAGACGGAACGACGATAAAAAAAAATTCTTTTTACTAATCGATAGCTCATGAAGTTCACTACAAAAAACGTTCTTATCATATGTTTTCTTTACAAATATCACCTCTCTATGTCATTTAAGATAGAGGTAAAAAATTGAGAAACGAAATATTTTTGACTGTTTCTCTTTATAATAACAGTTAGAACAAATTGGAGAAAAGATTCGAGTAGTTGAAACAATTTGCTATCAAGAGAGATACTTGTCAATTTCTCATTAGCAGGTTTAAGTGAAAGGCCACTAGAAAATTAAAACCAGTTTTCTGAACTCTATCAAAAATGATAAAGAAAAAGTTTTTAAACACAATAAGATGTCCTCGAGCTCCCCACGACCTATTTTCAGCAGACGGCAATAATTGTGCGATAGGCTTAAAAGACTTATAAAAATTTGTATGATTTTACTGTGTCTTACACATTGGAATCCTTCGTAATGAGTACAGTTCCCTGACAATAGGTCATGGAGAGCTCAGGAACATCTTGTTTTGCTTAGAAATATTTTCTCGATTAAGATCAATTAGACGTTTGATCAATTTTGAGCACCACTGTCTGTAGTGCAAATTATTTAGATCTATATAAACATTGAAACCATCCATCATTATCTTATCAAGACTGATAATTGTTTAAGGACTCCCATCCTCTCAAAAATCGATCTCAGTCCAGGAACATTCAAATGCCAATGCAACGTGGAGGATATGTTGGGGACTGTAAAAGGACGTCTGTGATAAAATTTTCAGCCTCCTATCGTGATGCATAAGAGAGACACGAACCAAACAAGGATGGAAAAATAGCTTATCGCATCTCCAAAAATTCTCTGTGGGTGTTCATTCAATATGCTTGATTGTTTTCTTTGTTTGAAAGAGCATTCCAGGATGCAATGCCTATGAGGGCCTTTTATTTTTTACTCTTATCTTTCTAGAGGAAAAACGGGCTCTCATCATAAGCACTGTAGTTTTTGATACTCTTTCAAACAAAAAAAAAGTATTTGATTTTTATCGGATAACAGTTGCCCTTCGCTGGAGATGCGTCGTTCAGCAACCATTTTGAGAAAGAACGAAAAAGATTTTTGGATCTTTTCAAAAACCACTGGTATTTCGAATAGGAGTTGTCAAAAATCTTGAAAATTTTTCGGAAAAAAGGAGATATCGAAGAAAAGCTTTTATCGTTTATGAAAGAACAAATGACAGGCTATCTCTCCATGTATTTATCTCAATTTCAATAATTCTGACGAAAAGTGACTATTTTTTTAGCATTATTGATGTTAAGAATTATTATATATTGTTATTGGAAGATATTTTATTCAGTTTTATGAATGATGTTTGTTTTTCTTTGAAGGATCCACGAATAATGCTTGAGCAATTATCGACACTTTTTCTTCTTGCTGAAGTAAATTGTCAAATAATTAATAACTTTTGTTTTTTATTATTAATTGAATTATTTTTCAGATCTTTCTTGTTATTCACTATCGACCTGTAGTTGAAGAATTAACTGATATTATACTTTCGGCAGATATTGAAACAGTCGAAGCTATTCAACATCGTTATGGAGAACAAGTAAATAAGTGTTTTTCTTTTTTTTAATCTTTTTAATAAATAATATTTTCCTATTCTTATTTTTAGATATCTTATAGTTTACCACCAACAGCTCTTGAAGTTTGTTTAGCTAAATATGAGCAAAATGAAGAAAGTGATAATCCAAATGATTCAGGTATTCATTTTGATCAAATGTCTTCTATAAATTTGTTAGTTATTAGAAGTTTCATTAAAAGTCGTAGATATAAATGATGAAAATGAACGACGTCGATATGAAGGTGAACATTCACGAAGACGTTCTATATCGTTATTAGCAGCTAAAAATCGTCAGAATATCGAATCAAATATAAAACCAACATCATTATATATATCAAATTGGACTGATGATGAAAAATGTCGACGTAGTCAAAATCCAATGCGCTTAAATGATAATCAAATAGCTAATAGGTAAAAATTAAAGAAAAAGCAAAAAAATCAATTTTTCCATTTGAATTAATAAATATTTCATTTAGACCATATTTTGATACATTAATTAAAGCACTTGAATGTACTGAAAATGATCAATTATGTTTCTATGCATTAAGTGTACTATTAACTATGACAACAAATCCATGTAAATTGATTAATTTTCTTATTTCGAATATTTTTCTGTTTTTTTTCAGGTATTGATAGTGTTATTCTTGAATCAGTTTGTTTAACAGTAAAATCATCAGTTAGTTTATTTAACTTTAATTATTATTCATAATTTAATTATGTATAATTTTAGGAAAAAAGTTTTTATAATATAGTATTAGTTGATAAACTTTGTGATATTCTTCAATTAGCAACAATACAAGGTAATCGTATAAAAACTAAACAAAAAAGCTTAATTGTATCATAATAAATAATATTATTTAAGATTCAAATATTCGTATTGTAACATTAAGTCTAACAATATCATTATTAAAAAAACTTGTTTATGATGAAGAAAAAAAAACATCTTATATATCTGATCATGATATGTCACGAATTGATAAAGCACGTAAACAAGCAACAGAAGATTTAAGACGATATTATCCAGTAAAAAATTTGAAATTTTTATTAAATATTTTTTTATTTCAGAAAAATATTTTTTCTTTTTAGCACCAAGAACTTTTGCTTGATATGTTTGAAGATGAATATCGACAAACACAATTAAATCCAATGCGTATTGAATATTTACTTAAAGATTCATGTATGATATTTCCACCAACAACAACACCATTGAGTGGAGTTGAATTTATAAAACGTTTACCATCGGGTGATATTGAAAGAGCTAGACGAGTAATTTTACATTGTTTTTTTTTTGTTCCAATTGTATTTTTATAATTTAAATTTTAGTCAATTCGTGTATTTTTTCTTATTCGATCATTATTTCTTGAATTAAATTTAATAATTGAAACAGAATTACCATTAACAAAACCAGAAAATTTATTTAAACCAAATGATAAACTCGATTTAAGTAAGTCAAATAAATATTTAACAAAAAAATATTTTTTTTTTATTGAATTTTTTTGTTTAAAGATAATAGTGATTTAATTGCTTGTACTGTTCATTTGACAGACAGGTAAGAATTTAGTCAAAATGATTTTGATTCCTATTGTTTAATTTAATTTAGAAAAGATCGTCGATTTCTTGTTATTGATCAAATGCAATTTATTCTTATTGAACCTGATATTAAAAAAGTTGGTTGGGGAATTGTCAAATTTTGTGATCTCATGCAAGTTAGTATTTCAAAAATAAAAATTTTTTTCCATAAAATTATAGATAATTAATAAACAAAAATATTAATAATATTTTATGAAAGAAAAAAACTATTCTGTTGTTGATATAACTGTTTTAAAATCTTTTTACTAGATCTCTTTCTTAAGGCTTCAAAATTAGGAATATACAGAGTTACTCTACCATACTAAGATAGGATCAGAGTAAAAGTTCGGGTAGAATAAGAATAAAGCTTATCCCGGACATCTCTATTCGAAGTGATACTTTTTTTCAATTCATCTGAAAGTTTTCAGACACTAAAATAATGGATTTTGTCTATTAATATGAAGATGACTGTTGTGATCTTTCACCGGTAGTATCAGTTAAGTCTTTACAAGATTTTTTATTTGGAAAAATAAATACTAAAAAGATGAGTGAATTGAATGATTCAGTTCTTACTTCTAAAATACTGCTATTGTTATCGGTTATTCGATTGTATGTTGCTGATAATACTTTCAATAAAAGAAATATTAAAGCTAACATAGATACGTCAGGTCATAGATAGAACTGGTCTACCGTTATTTACTGACTTACTGCCGATCTGTAGATAGTTACCGGTTTAAATTTTTTACTTTTCTGTTCTTTTCATCGAAGCTCTTACAACATTCTTATTGACCTTAATTGATGTTGTTGATTAAATTACATAATGAAGTTTTGTTGAAATTTCATAAACACAAATTATGCAATATTCGGTATAAACAATTCTATAATTTTTTGTTGTATACATTTAATCATAGTTAGAAGTAGTAATAGCGATTCGATACTGGTGCGAATTTTAAGTCGATCGGTCTATCAGTCCGATATTCGTGTACCGATCGTCATAAAACCTAGACCGATTCCATCTATGTATCAAGTATTATTACTATTCATCTTCATCTTTATTTTTCTATCGATCTCGTTATTAATTTAAATGTCAAGAATGAGAGTAAAGGCAAACTTGAGATGTTTGTAAGTATCAATTATGAGCTGAATCAACTAGTTATCTGCAATACTCTTCAAGAAACACGTGTGTGTGTGTGCACTCAAAACTAAATCATAATTTTGTTTCTTAGCATGATATTATCAATATCTGTATTTTAAGGATGTTGAAGTAGCAAATGATAAAGAAGATAGTCGTTCTTTACATATAACAATTCATAAACCAGTTAATAATATTTATGTTAAAACAAGTCCACCTATTCTAAATGCAAAATTTACATTTGATGATCATATTCGTTGTATGACAGCGAAACAAAATTTAATCAAAGGTCGTCAAAGGTATTAATCATTTTTTTTTTGTTTTTTTGAAAACAATAATTATCTATTTTATTTTTTTTTTAAAGAGCTCGTCAAATTAAATTATCAAAAATTGCATCTATACTCGAAATAGAAACAACACCAATAAATATAATAAATCAACCAAAAATTTTTACACCTACAACTTATAATCAATATCAATTAGGTAAAGATTTTAATTTAACTGTAGTTCGAAATTGTCCAGCTAAATAATCATCATTTAATTCTTTTATTGATGATATACGTTTTATTTTTGCATAACGTAATTCAGTTGGTTTAATTAATAATGGTCGAATACTATTATTTGATTCAATATTTGATAATATAATTGATTTTGATGTTGTCGATTTAGCTAAATACATTGTTGAATGTGCACGTCGACGATATTGACATAAACATTTATGATTTTTACAATTAAATTTTAAATTAAATATTGTTCGATGTTTATGAGAATTTTTATCATAACGAATAAGTTGTTGAGAAAAAGAATTAATTTGAAAATTTGAAAATTTTTGACGTTGACGATAAATAAAATAAATAAGAAATGATAAAATTAATAATACTATTGTAAGAAGTATTAACCAAACAATTAAAACTAATTTATCTGATGTTCGAAAATATTTTGGTAAAATATTTTTACTTATATTTAATAACCAAAGAAAAAATTCTGGAAGTTTTCTTTCAGATTTAACAATAATAAATGTTCGATTTGTTGTTATATTCATTGAAAGATTTGTATTTAAATTTTTATTATTTAATAAAGATAATTTTGATGTAAGCGATATTATTGTATATACAGATTCAGGTTGAGAAGAATTTAAATTAAAACAGATTAAATATTTTTCAAATTTTTTACTTAAAGCATAAAGATATTCTATTGCAATCGGACGACGTTGTTCTATATGCCAAGCAGATAATAGAGTAATATTTTGATTTGTTTTATTTTTCCATATATCAATTGTAGATGATAATGCACATGTTAAATTTTGTTCTTTATAAATATTTGTTGTAATTAAAATAATTGCTTTTGAACGAAAAAAACATTGTCGTGCAATATTAAATGCATTTTGATTTTTATATTGAATTGGTGTTTGACATATTGGTATTGGTTGACTAACTGAAAGTATTAAAACATTTGTACATGAACAATGCCAATGATTATAATTTAAATTAATTAAATTTAATGAATGACGTGGAAAAATTATTGATAAAATTTGTTTTAAATAATTATTATTTAAATAAAGTTCTTGTAAATTTATTAAATTAATAAATGCTTTTTTTCTAATAAGTATAAGACGATTATAACTTAAATCAAGTTTTTCTAATGATGGAAAATAATATGAAAAGTTCGTATCTATTATACGTATTGAATTATGTGAAAGATTTAATGTTTTTATACTATGTAAAATAGGTGAAATTGATAATGATCGATTAAATATGACAGGCGATAGACGTGTAAGATGTGCATATGTTATTGATATATATTCAAGATAATTCCATAATGTATATTGATCAAAATAAAATATTTTCATAGTACAATATTTTACTGTAAAAGATTTAATAATTGAATAAAAATGTTCTTGTTCTTGAAAAATATTATTATTATTATTATTATTTGTTAAATTACAAATAATAGAAATTTTTTCAACATGTATATGTTCAATTGAAAATTTATTAAAACAATTATAACATGAACGATATAATGTTGATGTACATGGTAAACAAGAAGAATTTGAAGAATAACATTTTAAAATAAATAAATTTATTAATATTATAATTAAGATTTGCATCTATATTGATTGTTGTTTTATAAATTGATTTGTCACAAGTATAGAATAAGAACAGACAACTAATGTCTCACCATCTCACATCATCACTTATCAATTAATTAATCTGTATCGTAGATATGTATATATATATATATATATCTGTATGCACATGTATACATTTATTCACGCACACGCGTCTTACATCTACTATCTTTATGCATGACTATAAGTGTGACGAGCCAGATGATATTTTAATAGAATAAGCACTATTAAAATCGACAGACGATGTAAAGTAACTATCATCTAAGTTTGTCTATGAAAAAAAAATTTTCTTTATGTTCTGTATATGACAATAAATCATAATACATGTGACCTGTCGTTCATAAAATATTAATGACTTTTTTCTTTTTTTTTTTTTGTAGGATTTTCAATACCAGCATTATCGAATCATCCTGGTATGTTACTGAATTCTTTTTTTTTTATTATTTATTAAAAAAATTTTCACAGTTCCGATCCTTACAGTTCAGGAGATTTCCAGAGGTCATAGGACTTTCACGCGTACAAATGTTTTTTTTTTCAATACACTTCAAGCTACACCGTTCAGGCTACTCTTATTTCAAAGAGAGACTCCTTACCACTTCGGATGAGAGGGAAAGGAAGTTTTTATATTATTATTGGGGACAATATTTTCTAGAAAATCTATGATTGCTTTGATATTAAGGGTCGAATACAAAGTCGTTTTCCCTCATCCGAAAGAGAATTTATTATCAAATAAAAAAAACTCGTAATTCGCTAGAATAAACACTATTGAAAAGAAATTTATTCGACATTCGACAATTTACATATGTCGAGAAAAATATGCGAACATTTTTTTTTTGTATATTTACCTGAAGAATTTTCTAACATAAGTGTCAAATACAGTTATAACGGATGAATCGAAAATTTTGAGATTAAATTTTCCTTCGCATGTCGGCCAATTAAGATGACCAAAGGATCATATAAAATATTGATTTAAAATCAGAATTTTGTACTCTTTCCGAATATAGACTCGGAATTGTTATTAGATTCATATTTTAGGGACTATGAGCAAATCTTGGAAAAAAAACGTTTCGACGAAGACAATTGCAACTAACAAATCCATAGACCAAGAATGCGACCGTATCCCATTTTATATTATTTTCATGATGTTTTTTCAGTAATTTTTTGGGATCAGTACCTAGAAAATAGATGTTCTCAGCAAATGATATTTGCTTATACATATGTTTTAATAGCAGTTTGCCAGAATGCAAATAGCATTAGAAATCGAAGTTCTCGAATCAAGTTTGCTCTTTCTTTTGTTGTATTCGAAATAAATTTTCTATCTTGTACGCATTTTTTTGACGATCTAAAATCTGTCCAAACTTTGTTTGCAGACTTTTCATAGATTCGCTCATAACATCCGAACATATGAGAATGAGCGCAAAATTTTAATTTTAAACCAAAACCATCTTAATCGGTCGCAAAACTTTCGACTCATCCATTATTACATACCAATTAATAATTTCTCTAGAGTCTTATCAAGTGATCTTCTATTGCTCCTCCACATTACAGACCTTAGCAACTGGGATTAAAGGCGTTGAACGACATTAATAACATAGCTACGAAAATTTCCTGAAATTTAAATGACTGAAATACGTTTTTCAATATTCTAAATAATGCAGTTTCTGATGTTTGCACAGATAAACAATCTACAATCGTCATATGACCGGATTAAGTTCTGTGTTTCGAGAATAATGAATATATCGGTAGATATATAATAGAGCATTAAGATCTACTGTAAATATAACGAATGAGTCAAAAAAAAAAAAAAAGTTTCTGTTTCAAATGTAACACAAAAAGGCATAGCGTTTGCTGATAATTGATTATATTGTCTTTTAGAGATTTTACATTTTGCGTATTTTGTATTAGTCTAATGAAATTAAAGAAGACATATGAATTTCAAATTTTAGTCCCAAAAGAGCTGCACTAACAAGATTTTAATTGATGTATGAATATCGTATTGGCATTTCCACTAGAGAGCTCTAAAAACTCATTATAATTTCTGAAGATTGGAAATCATTCTTATGAATCTTTAAACTAGACACTTTAGCGATCATATCTATATTTTTCATCTCAAAAAATGTCTGTTGTTTTTTTTAGAAAACTTGATTATTTAAAAGACGAGATCTTAAGCATATAAAATATTATGATAGAAAAAAAAAAAAATAAATAGAATTTTATAAATTTGTATCTTATTTCTTCTTCTATTTTATTTATTCAAGGTCGAGCAGCATTAGTTTCTGGTTCAAAACGACAACCAGTTAGTCAAAGTATTCCAATTGTTAGTCGTCCAATGAGTTCAAATTCAACATCATCAACATCATCTCCAACTTTTAGCAATATTGAACATATTCGAAGTTATTCTTTATCACGTACTCATTCAGATCAATCATCACATATGGCTACTGGTTTATCAATACCATCGGCAAATCGTCGTACATCGATGTCAGATGTAAAAGAAAAATCACGAAGAGGTTTGAAAATTAAAAAAAAAAAACATCATTGTCTTTTATTAAAACTTGATTTTCGTCTTATAGGTAATTCACAAATGGCTAGAGCACCGAAAAGTTTACGTGAATGGCATGAACAACCAGTTAATCTTCTTGAACAACCATATCTTTTACAAAATGTTAATGTTCAAATTCTTTCACCAAATAGTGATCGAGTAAAGAAATTAAAAAAAGAATTTTTTTATCTAATTATATATTAATCAAAAAAATATTGTTATTGTGCTTTTTTTTTCTTCCTTTTAGACAAATCCACCTTTCTTTTGTGACAATGAAATATTGAAATCTGAAGAAAATTTAAATGCTGGAATTGAAAATGATAATAATCAAACAATACATCGTGCATCAGATGTGAATGAAAATAAATAAAGCGTCTTTCTTTTTTTTTTGTCATATTTTCTTTTTTAAAAATCTTTATATTCATACTGTCCATTAGGAATTAAAGGTGATAAATTTCCTTTAATACCTATGCTTAATTGAATTTGTGCATTGTTCTAGAGAGAATGTGAATGCAATTCTTTGTTAACTTGATTGTAATTATTGCACAAACGAAAAATAAAATGTTATTGTAATTTTTTTTCTTATGCTCATGTGTATCATGAGAACAAGAAAGTCATATGATATGGACACATCTTGAAGTCTGGGCATCATGTCACAAACACATGAAAAACAAAAGATATTTGACGTGGGCATTAAATCAATCAATTTTATTGATGAAAATACATTATTTTTATTGACATCGTAGGATGTATGACAAAACCATCTGTCGAACTTGTGTATAAAAGCATTTGTTAATATTATGTTTCAGCTCTTCTTTTTCGACAAATTTTTTATTATATTCTCGATGAAAGCAGGTATTTGAATATAGTATGTGATTATTTATTCATCTTATTAGATAATGGAAAAAGAAAAAGGAAAGGCTAAAAAAAAAGAGTCATTAGCTTTTTTGCTTTGTTTAAATGATAGAAGTGTTAAGATTCGACGGAAATCCTTCTAGATATGAACAATATTCATCAATCATCAAACAATAGAGCAATAATGAAAGATCATTCTCGCGACTATTCTGATAAATCCATGAATGATATTATCATTGATGACTTGAAACAGCGAGTATCGAGAGTCTCACGATGTTTTTCAAAAAAGAGAATTTCAGTTCTGCTGAAAATAATACAAATTTTTCATGGTTGAAGGGGTGTACACCCCTGGATATCATAGAATCTGATGAAATAAAAGCAACATGACATTCAGTCATATAATCTCAGTTCGACCTTGTTTAGTTCTGTTGTAAAGATCAAAAAAACACATGTTTCTAATAGAAGAGATCAATTCTTCAAGAATCTTCTCTTGACGTTCATCATAAATTTTCCTAGATAAAGTTATGTCAATAAAATCATCTCTTACTGATTTACAGACTTACAAATCGACGTCAACGATTCGTACGAATTCAATACTTACTGTACAAAAACAATTATTTTTTTCTAGAACGTCATTATTTTTATTTTCTAAAATCTCCTGATCATATCTATAATGAAATCAGGTCTCTTTATAAACAGAACTCAACCATTGGTATGGAGGAGAAGATGCTGAGTTTCTTCTAGTCACACGATGGTTATCTGTACGTAGATTAACACATGCTAAAACCTCTTATATGTTATTAGCGACATCTACTTCACACAGGAGAACATTTGAAATACCAATATTTTTCTCACTGATCATCAATAATATTAAATATGTGATATAAAGGTTTCTAAAAAAAATCTCAAAAGTAATACAATTGGATATTAATTTAACCACAAGAATCGTTCGATTGGTTGATTATTGATTTTCTCTTATAACAAACAAAATTGTTTTTCCTATCTCACGTAAAAAAAGAAAAAAGAAAATTATCTTTTTCATACATCAATCATCTTTTGTTTTCATCCTTTCTTATACATATTATGAATTTATCACTTGATACAATCTTAACAAATGCACGTGAACTTGTTTCACGTTTGCGTCGTGATGATGCTACAGCTGATACAGCTGTAAGTCAAGCACAATATGTTCAAGAAAGAATTCTCAGTATGAAACAGGTGTGAAATATTTCATTTATTTTTGTAAAAAAAACAAAAAACAAATATTCAATTTTTCTTAAGTATGGTGATGATCTTGCTGAATTGAATGATATTAGTTCACATCGTCCAAAAACAGATATTCTTTATAATATTCAAAAAGAAAATCGTCTAATTAAGTAAGTTATATTTGAATATAGTGAATTATTGTATGTTGAATTTATATTTTTAAATAAGACAATTACAACAAGAGAATGAAGAACTTAAACAATTAGTAACTGAACATCGAAGTGTACTAGAAAAAATCATGCATAAATATCGACAACATGTACAACAACTTAAATTAATGGAAGAAAAAGAAAAAATAGCTGTTCAATTATTTAATGCTGGATTAGCACAGGTAAATAATAGAAATCATATAGATCAATATTATTCCATAATCTATGTCACTGACAATTCTAATCTTCATTCATTTATGTAGGTGATATATATATATAAAGAACTGAGTACAGATTTTTCTTACATTAAAATATTATTAAAAAAACATGAGTGATCATGATTAGCCTTGAGAAAAAAAAATCGAAGGTATATATTTTTGTTTTTAGGAATCTTTATTTTCCTATCTTATAAATAATTAATGTAATGAAATTGAAACTTATTTTACTAATGCTTGAGTATAGATAAGATATAAGAAAAAACAAAAATGTTTTTTGTTAATTAAATAATCAGTAAAAATAAATATATAATTTAAATTTAGGATATTCAAGAAAAAGCATCAAAAATTCAAGAAATGGCATTAATTATGCAACGTGCAATTGATATTGATGATACTAATAATGCAGCACAAGAAGAACGTATAAGTGCACTTTTAATTGAAAATCGAGGTTTAAAAGAAATTCTTGCTGTACATGAAAATATGCATAGACAGAAACCAATATTAACAACTATACCAGAGGTATATTTTTCAGATTAATTATTTTTATAGATTATTAGAATTTTTTGGATCTAAGAACTTTTCATCCAACGATAATAACTTATAATCATAGGTAGACGTATAAGGAAACTACTCTAATTGTTACTAACCGCTTGAAAGTCTCAGTAAGAATAGAAAATACTTAAATTGGTTCATGCCGATAGTTCTCTAGAGCAATTTTTGATTCAATTTTATGAATTTCCTACAAGACCAAATAATTTGATTTTTATGACAATGCCTTTATTATGTCTCTGTATTGATATAGATTCCATATATATGCTACATATCGTTTGTCATACGTTCTAATTATTTCTATTATTGACTTCTTACTCTCATATTTAGTTTTCTGAAATCTATGATCCGATATAGTTATATATGACTATTGCGTGTTGTACTACTTCACATCATTGTTCTATATCTACTCAACCATGTGAAAACAAGTACGCCAACGCGAAAAAAAAAGAAAACTAACATCATGATAGTATATACTCTACTTTTTTTTTTCTTTACATTTTTGTATGAATGTTCATCGAAGTAGATTTAATTTGTATTATCTATTTGAATGAAACTCATCTAGCATGCATCAATGAAATAAGCTTGAAATGTTTTCTATTCATATTATTTTACTACTAATAATAGGTAGTTAAGATTTATAGAATTGACTGGTTTCTAAAGTTTTTTTCTTTTTCTTTTTTGTTTGAATTTTAGAGTCCTTAAAGTCTACTAATCGAGACTGACAAATTAGATTCTTCAAATTTCTATGCAAAAAAAAGAAAAAACGGAAGCGTAAAAATTAAAAAATTTTCATGTCCAGAATATAAACTTGAGTTATTTTATTTTACAATAATTCTTTAACATATAAAATAGCTTCTACAGACTTTAAACATCAATTCATAGTCATAAGAAATTATTATACTATTATATTTCTCTTGTTTTTTTAGTCAATTACAGTTGAATCATCAGTTGCACAATCAAGTTCTCCTTCTGAAATCAAAATTACGGATTCATCTTCTTCACAACAAGAATCATCATCTTAATAAAGAAAGGTTTTTTTCTTTTTTATCATCTGCTATCATTCCAGTTGTATATTTTTTATTTCACTCTATAATTGTTCCACGTTGTTTGTCAAATCCTTTTGCGAAATTCTATCTAGTCGTGTTTAACAAAAACAAAACAAAAAAAAAAACAAAAAATAATCATATTTTTTTTCCTTCTACTTATGTGTGTTTAGTTTGCTTCAGATATATAGAAAAAAAAAAGTAGAAAACATCAATCGGACCAGAAGACATTTACAATAAACAATGTGTAAGATTCAAAATTAATTCTATAGATTTTTAGTCGCAAAACTAGATGTCATTTCCTTTTCTTTTTTTTTGTCATTAGATATAATATGTCGTTTTTGTACAATATGTCTACATTGGAATTAATTATCAAAATGAATATAAATATGTATTAATAATGAGTCCAATAAAATCGTCAATAGAAAAAAGGTTATTTGATAGGGAAGAACAACAACAAAAGGTAATTTATCAATATTCTGTTTTTTTTTCTCGAGATATTTATAGAATCAATGAATATTTATTCTCATTTTAAATCATCATTAAATTCGTTCTCAATCCCTAGGCATGTTTTTGTAAAAGCATGTTTGCTTTTATGATCTTATTTTTCTGGTAGCTATGAGGGAAATTAAAATCTAAAGTAATAACACTTAAAGAACATATTTAGAGGTCCAACGGATGTGTTAACATTTATTTTGCGAGACAATATAAATGTGTTGACATAATTAACAGAAGAAAATTATATTTATCGATTTTCTTTTTTCTATATATTTGAGTCTCTTTTGAATATCATAACACTAAAGAATATTGTTATAAATGATACTTGATGGAGTCATAATTATTAATGGAAAATTTTTTTTCAATAAGTTAGATTAATATAATAAGAAAAAATTATTATTATTATTATGAATTTCTCTCTTCAGTCAAATATTAAATATGATATTGATTCAGCTTTATTATGGACACAAAACATCATAGCTTTAATAATTGGTACGATTCTATTATCTGGAATTGTCACTTTCTTAGCAGTGGTAAATAAATTAAATATTTCTTTTGTTTGAAAAAAGAAAAAGAAAGAAATTCTTTATTTCTACTAGTTATTATGGCGTTCAAGACAACGACGATTATTAAAAACTAAGTATGAACCATCTGAATCGACTCCATTTTCATTGGTGAATATTAAAACAACGAAATCAAAAGAAATTGTATTATATCCTATGACACCTAAACTTATTCAATTTAATTCATCCGATATTAATGAAAATACATATTTATCAACATCAACAACAAAAAAGTTTCGTAAAAAAAATCTTTTACAAAGGTAATTTATTTTGTTTCAAATAGCTGTAAAAATAAAAATATATATATGTTTATACGTAGGTGTTTTTTGCTCATAAACATAAGAGAAAAGAAAAATATAGCCTTAGAAAAAGAAAAAAGAGATATTAGCTAATGATAAGATACTTTTTTCCTATGACCTATGTAATAATATTACGGTCGAGTGATCAATAAAAAAGAAAAGCCAACATTATAACAAAACAATTTAAATCAAAATAAAGCCTAAAAACATTTTGTCTTTCATGTGATCATTATGTCTATACGAATTAGAAAATTATTCCTTTGATATTTACATTAAAGACGTGGGTGTATTTAGACTATCATGCAGGGAAATTATTCGGTTTTTGTCTATCATATATATATATATATATATAAGTGATTATAATACTTTAGTCATATGAGAGGTTATGTCATATAAATACAATGGTTTTTTGAAAACTTATTTAATATTTCAATACACATAAAACAGATGGAAGTTGAATCGTCAACTGTCCATTATACATATTGGAGTTCACCAACATCACTTCTATTCAAACGAAGGTTGGTGATTTGATTTATGTATATAAAAGAATGATGATTAAGATTTTTTGAATTCTTATTTAATTAAAATATTTGTATTACATGACATTCGTTTGTCTTTATTAACTAATAAATTTCAAATAAAATCAAGAATATATTAATAAATAAAATTTATATTTATTTTCATCTTTGTTTTTCTTTTTTTAAGGAGAGGTAATAATAATGCATTAACAATATCTGTAAATCCAAAACTTCGTGTTCTTAATAGTCCACCGTCTGATTGGTAAGAAAATAATTAATATAAGAAAGAAAATATAGAGAATTATTTTCTTTTTAGTTCATCTGATGAATATTTAGAAACTGCAACACGAAAATTAACTATCGATGAACTACATCAACATGCACAAGATACTTGTTTACTTTATCAAGAATTTTGGGTTTGTAAAATTTAGTAAATCTTTTTTTTTTTTTTTTTAAATGTATTTTATTTTCTATAGTCAACACCAACAAATCATGTTGACAAACTTCGTATTTGTGGTGTTGGAACAAAAAATCGTTATTGTACAATTATTCCAAGTAAAAATTCAATAAATTTCATCTTCATATTTAAATTAAGATTTTTTTTTTTCATAGATGAACATTCACGAGTAAAATTATCTGAATTACCGGATGATCCGATTTCATCATATATCAATGCAAATTATATATCCAGTTGGTCAAATGATTATCAAGCATTTATAGCTACGCAAGGTCCACTTTCAAATACAATTATTGATTTTTATCGGATGATATGGCAAGAATATGTATCTGTAATCGTTATGATTACTCGTTTATTTGAAAAAAATAAAGTAAAAAAACAAACATTTTTGTTTTAGTTTTGTTTTTCTAAAGAAATTTTTTTTTGTTTTTGTATTAGTCAAAATGTGAACGATATATTCCAGATTTACAAGCTAATCAATATGGTCCATTTTATGTTGAAGTTAAATCAATAAATTATCAAAATGATTATGAAATACGAAGATTAATTATAAAAGTAAAGCAAAAAAATCGATATTGATTTTATAAAATCTTTTATAAAATCTTTTAGTTTGAAAATGAACAACGTGAAATTGATCATTATTGGTATACAGGTAAATAAAATATTTAAAAATGAAAGTTCTTTCTCTCTCTAGGAAAAAATTTAATTTATCTTTTAGCATGGCCAGATCATTCATGTCCGAATGTTGTACAACCATTAATTGAACTTGTTCATCATGTTGAAAAAAGTCGAATTGATTTATCGAAAATAAATAAACGATCTGGTCCTGTTGTCGTCCATTGCAGGTATTTAAACATTCACAATCATCATTTTATGTCCAATAGGTAGAATACCTTTCAAAACAAAAAAAAAGAAAAATTATAGATTATTTCGCTTGAGTTACTCTCATAGGTACATCATAAAATAGGTCAAAAAACATTGTTATAAGAATTTTAACTCATAAAAATAACTATTTATATTAATTTAATGTCTTATTTTAGTGCTGGTATTGGTCGTACTGGTTGTTTTATTGCATTAAGTAATGGTATAAAACAATTAAATAAAGAACATGTTGTTGATGTACTTCGTATACTTTGTAATTTACGACGAGATCGTGGTGGAATGATTCAAACTAATGATCAATATCAATTTGTTCATCAAGTATTAAGTGAATATGCACGACGATTACAATAGTTATTTTTATGATCTATTTTAATTTATTTTTGCATTTTTTACACACTTAAATTTCACAAAACACAAGGAAAAGAACAAGAAGTCAAGTTCTTTTTCTATATGACTCTTTGTAATATATATAATCTGTAGTGTTTGTTTTTTTTTTCGTATAAGCAAAAAATTCACGTTTTATTTTTATCCGATAGTTATTTTGTACAAAGAAAAAAAAGCCCAATGCTTATACATTGAATGAACATTCCATTATGTAATATCATGCTCTCTTTATATCTATCTATGGCTATAATCATTCATTAGCAACATGACGGAGTGTGTCGATGTGTGAGAGTTATCGTTTATCACAATCACACTCTTTTTGTCTATGGCGATCAAATTTCAAATATCTTGAACTCATTGTACTGATCGACATAGAAAATTTGTCCGTTCTGACCAACCATCATTTCCTCTTCTGACTTTTTCTATTTTTTTATCATAAAAATGAGGTTTTGTTTTTTGGTGAAATTAGTCAATAGTGTTGATTGATTTCGATGAATTCATACAAGTCTAATCAATAAGGTCAGGAATATGATTGAAAATTTTCCTTGTCAACACATAGTGAAAAGTAAATAGTCATCAATGTCAATTCAACGTAGGATATCTTAGGTTAGGATTCGAATATTTCCTGCTGCGATTCACTAAAAAGTCGATTCCCTGGATCGTTTTTCCTACTCGCTTTCTAGCTTTTGAGATCCAAGAGCAAATTAATGGCAAAAAACTGGTGAAAAATCCGTTACCATTCACTATAACAAAAGTAATCATGGTTTTATATAGAAGGATGTTTGGGTGTCTGTGATTATTCTTTCGCTATTTGGACAATAAGCAGAGAGAGAGAGAAAAAAAAATGACATATCTATACTCATTAACATTAAGAAAGGTTGTTTTTTTCCTGACTAGATTCAATTTGTTTTTTCTCTTGTGTTATACAATCATATGAAAATGACTCGAAGAAAAATGCAATGTATCGTTTATTTGTTTTTGAGCATTTAAGAGAAGAATATGTCGAATATTCATTGTAAAGACGATTGTTAATAAAAGTTAAAATATGCCCATGGCACAATAAAAATGAAGGTTGGAGGAGTGTTTAATTTACTTTTAAGGTATCATCAGAGGAGTCTCTATTCTCTCAAGTAAATGAAATTTTCGTTCTACATAACTGCATCACATTTTTTTTTGTTTCATAAAGATTGCATTGAGAGTTTTGTTTTTCGTTACTTCATTTTTCTTTTATTTCAAGAATATAAAATGAATACTCTCTCGCCGTTAGTATAAGTTAATAACAGAATATTCAAAGTATACAACTAAATATATACAAGCTCATGGTTAAGAAATAATGCAAGCCATCGATCGCAATATTGCTTCTTGTCTTTGTCCTTCTGGACTAAATCGAAATGCTAATCGTTGCATTGGTTCAATATAATTTCTTTGCATCCAAATTGGTTTATACACCATAATTTTTTTTACTTGTCGTGATCGACCACCGATAACAATTGATTGAACAACCATTAAACGATTTTGAACTTGACCAATTTCATAAAATTGATTAGTTGCATCAGGACATAATGCTGAGTTATTGAAAAAGACTCGATTTTCTAATTCTTTTGGTGAAAGTGTTAAAGCAAGTAGAAAAATGAGTCGATCTTCATCATCTGACATATTTCTCCAATTTGAATAATTTCGATATCGACTTATATTATTATCATTATAATCAATAACGGTACATACACAATCTATATAGTACATTATTTTGGCAACATCAGCATCTGGTACAGTGACTGTGGTGCCAATCATTTTGAAATCATATTCATTAGTTCCAAAAATAGCCATAATTTTTACTCGTATGAAGTTGATGAATATTTTTTCAATACAATCTTCTGCTTTCAAAATCGCTTATATGATTCTTTAATATATATTTGCCATCTGGTAGCCTACGTAATGCTACTTCCATGGAAAAAAAGAAAGAAAAGAGAAGTGTTGACACGTCATGTATTTGACTGTTATTGTACAAGGTAAAAATTTCCAACATAATTTTAATTACACATAGTTCATCTTGATTAAAAAGAAAAGCTCTGCACTTCCTTTTCCTTCTCTCTTGTCCGAAAAATACTAACTTGGGTGTGTGGGTGTGATTGTCTAGTTGAAGAGAAGATCCACACATGCACTCACATTCATTCTCAATCCAACGTGAGAAGTATCAAATTAATAAATATCCATTATACAGACATATAGGCGACGATTAAACAATGGTTATGAACAGAGCAGTGGAGAATTCAATACAAATGGATTTTGACTCTTCTGAAAAAATTTACCATTTTTTTCTCAAGAATATCTCTTTCCTTTCATCCTTCGGTATATATCCCTCAATGAGACACTGATAGGATTCATTTTACTTCCAGCGTGAGCATCTCTATATAGTGGAAGATTTTAACTAGTTATCTGTAAATCAATTATCTCGGTTTTCTCAGAAACTCTGGTACATGTGATTCACTTTGCTGATGTTTTTTTTTATCGATTTCTATGCCTTATATAGTAACATTAGGTTAAAGACATCTCGCAATTAAGTCTTATTGAGATACGAAAGAAAGCATATCGCCTACAAGAATACAGGATGTACGTAGCTATCGAGAGAAGCAAGTTCAATGTATGATCGTAAATCAATTGACAATATGTTTTAGACAGTAAGAAAAGCAAAATAAAAAAAAGTGGAAACAGGCATTCAAATTTTCATATAAAAAATGAATCACGCGAATGTAGCACAGCGAATGATGAACAACAAAAGGTTGACGCAGCAAACCAGGAATGATGGCATTAATCGAACATGATAGTCATTACATAAGTTAATTATATTCATCATTATTATTTTTAATGTCGATGTAATCTATATCATGACTTATTGAACCTATCCAATATTTATGTTAACTAATTACGAACGTTGGAAAGAAAAATCAATATTTTTCTCTTTACAGTTTTTCATTGAATGAAAAAAAAACGTCTCATTTACATCTTGATGAAGGATTATATTGGCAAAACAAAAAATTAACACATAAAGGGAGCACTAGTTCAGATGAAGCAATCGTGGTAAACAGTAATCACAAATGACAAGCTCATAATTTAACAAAAGGCATAGAAAAATTCAAAAAACATGATTATGAACAACGTAAATAGCAAACAATCACGCAAAGATATTGCTGATTCGAATAAAACAAATAACAATCAAAATAATTAAAATTGATTATGGAACAATGAGTCATGAATTCAATGTTTAAATAGATCGATTGACGGCTAATGGTAAGGTAGAAAACTGTTACGGTCTATTTCTTTTTTCAAAACGACTCAAAGGATTTTTTTTGGAGCATTAAAATGAACATTCAACTGATATGTAATTTTTCAGTAAGATATCGCCAAAAATCGTTTAACGTATTTCAAAAAAGAATTATCCATTTCTGTTCTGATTTTATGATCTTAACTTAGCAAATCCTTCGTATTTATTAAGATATATCCATGTGATTATATTTGTTTAAATTCAGATGTAATTATTTCCGTAGACAAGTGATATGATTGCTTATTTTAAACTCGTCGTTTTGTTTTATTTTTTCTATATAGTCATTCTCATCCTCGACTTCTGTTTTGCTATTTCAAGATAGACTGTTAAAGATAAAGTAAGGGCAAGTATGTGTATGACAAAATTTTGAGAAAGATCTATTGAATTACTACTGTTCTGATCTATTTTTTTTTGATTGTTTTGAATAAGGATGCGTAACTATCATGTAGTTCAGGAGATAATCAGGTAGTTTAACGATAGAATATCCAACCGGATATTAGAAGATACGGATTCGGTTTCTGTTCGACATTTTTCGTGAACAACCAAAAATGACAATAGATAATCCTTTTTTGGATTCATCTATGTTTTCTCTTTCGATTTTCATTCATATTCAAACTTATCCTCAAACATATGTGAATCAAGGAAATCACATAGATTTCAATAGAACTCTGTTGTAGAATCATTCTTGCTTTTCATTCTCAGAAGTGTTCCTAGTATAAAAGGAATCTTATTAGATGGAATAAACTGCGTCTAAGTAGAAACAGTTCAAGCATTTTACGTTCACGCAAAAAGAAATGAAGTTGAAAGTAGTACATATGAATCGACTTTTTTTTCATTCATCTAAGCATGTGCATTCGAATTGAATGAAGTTTTTTATTCATGTCTTCTATCGGCGAAAATCGATTAAAATATATGTAATTAATAATCTCAAAAAATATTCAACTGTATAAATCATTGTAGGTTACTTTGAAACATCAACGTCTTGCAAAATCATAGATGCCACCTTTTCACCAATGGCATATGCAAGTATCTGCGGATGTCCATTGTTGAGAATAGGTAGAATGGATATATCTGCTACTCGCAATCCCTTCACATTCCTAACACGAAGACGACTGTCAACTACTCCCATAGGATCACTTTCAGGTGCCATTTTGCATGTTCCAGCTGGATGAGAACCGCTACTTGCGAATGTTCGTACATGCTCTTTCCAACCGATCATATCATTTGGATGCGAAATTATCTTCGGCCAAGCACCAACGATAATATCTTTTGTTCCTCGACCTTTCATTATGATTTCATGACACAAACGACAACCCTCGGCAAGTACTGCAACATCTAGATCATTATCAAGATAGGCATGATCAATTATTGGTTTGCTGATCGGATCTTTCGACAATAGTCGTACTGTACCCCTTGCTTGTGGTCCACAAAGAAAAGTGTTCACAGTAAAGACGCCTTCACCATTGATTGGATTGTATGGAAGGCCATCTATAAATAAAGTTGACATACATATACATAAAGTTAAGATTTGCCTGCTTAAGATATACAATCTTATGTAATTCTGTGGAATCCATGAATGAATGCTCTCCTCTCAAGTCGAATCATGTGCTCGGAAATTTGCTCGAATTCCAGGAAAACATAAATAGTCTTTACACTAGGATGGTTATTGCATTGGACGGAGGTGTTCACAATTCATATAAGTTGTCAACTGCTTTAGATTCTTACATGTCCTATTCAGTTTGTCTTATAATTTCAAAATTCTTTACTATACATTTATATTTGAAGGTCATCTTGTCGGGTATAAACAGAAATACTTAAAAATACAGACTGACTAAAAGAAGGTTATTGATACACAATTAACTAACCCGCATCTAGAAGGTCAGGTGCACTTATATATGATTGATTAGTGATAAACTCAATATGAGGCTGGTTCGGCAACTGTCCAGTTGGATCAGAGTTGGATGTATTTTTGCTCTGCTGTTTGGCTTTTGCAGCTTCCCAAACAGGATCTTGAATTGTCCTGTCGATTCGCGTGAGAGCCAGAACACCGACCGCAGCGCTTGCCATTACTCCTGTCTTAGTATCCTGCCATTCTTTGATCGCTAATCTTATAGCATCTGGATGATGATAAAGAAATCGATCGTGTGTGAGACTCGGATCGCTCACTTGATAGGACGTATAAACCTGATCAATAATATTAATTATTATATGAATAAGTTGAAAAAAAACTACTCATACGATTAAATGATCTTGAAGATTTTCGCCAACACCACGTAAATTAACCTTACAATCGATACCCACTTCGTTAAGATGTTTTTCCCAACCGATACCGGAATGCATCAAAATCATTGGAGAGTTATAAGCACTAAACAAAAAAAACGGTGTAACACATTGATATTAACAGATGCAACTTCAAAGGTGTTTATTTCAGGGAGTCAGCTACGCCTGCTTTCAGAGAAGATTTTTTTAGAAGAACGACAATGAGTTTACTCTTTCATAAGGTCAGAAGATCTTCACAAAGAATAAAAACATTATCATACCCAGCACTTAAGATAATTTCTTTTCTCGATTTAATAATTATTAGTTGACCGTTTGTATCGTCATGTGCTTCCACACCAACTGCTTTGTATGGACATTCTTTCTCATTATTCTTTTCCAAAATGATTCGATCCACAAATACATCTGTTCGAACTGTAAGATTTGTTTTTTCGTATTTGTGAATAAAATCCGCACTCGTAGTACAGATACCATTGTAAACTGTACGACCAATATGTCCAATACCTAATAGATTGTCATATTAGTATTATTGTAGAAAAAAAACAGTAACAAACCTTCGTAGTCTCCTTGCACAAACATATCTGGTTTGTAATCAAAACCATTATCGATAAATGATTCGAGAATTTTTTCAGATATGGGTGCGAGAGGAGTCATCGAGATGTGTAAAGGTCCATCAGTTCCGTGTATATCCAAGTCTGCTTGATGCCATTCAGTTGAATGAAATGTTTCGGATGCTTTAAAGAATGGCAGCATTTCTTTCCAACTCCATCCTGGATTTCCCATGTCAGCAATTCGATCATAATCTGCTTTGGTGCCACGAGTAACGAATGTATCATTGATTGCACTACATCCACCAAGTAGACGACCTCGTGGAACAGCCATGGTACGATTGTTACATCCTTTCTGAGGAACAGTTTGGTAACACCAATCGAGTGAAGTTTTATACATCGAGAACCGACCACCAGGAATATGACTAATGGTTATATCATGATTACTGCCACAAAAAAAACAGATTACTTGAAATAAAGAAATTAATACAAACGAACAAATATACCTTGGACCTGCTTCAAGAAGACACACACTAAAGTTGATATTATTCTCTGCCAAACGTCGAGCTGCAACTGCACCGCTGGTTCCACCTCCAATGATAATGTAGTCATAAGTAGAAACGTCATCCGCTCTTTGAGCCATCCTATAGAAAGAATATTAGACCTGACTAAGTTTCTCTTGTATTTTTCTATTTTCTTTGACTTCTATTAGAATGGAAACTCCTATATTTCTGATGGTATCATATGATCGTCAGACTTCTGGAAAAACAAAAGTAGTGTTTGAATACGTACTATAATGAGCTTGAGTTAGAAAGTATCCTAGTGGTAAAAAATATTCACTTTATTTGAGCGTTTTCGCACAATAACTGGTTTTAATCGTGCACAGAACGCATGTTTGATATAAAAATAATAGAGAGAGAGAAAGGTGACCAAGAGTAATGGTTATAGGAGAAGAGAACGATAACAAGGTTAATAGAAAAAAAATAGACGAGAGAAGGATAATGAGAAGACTTTTCATTACAGATACAACTGAATTACTGTTCCAAGCATTAATATCATTGGGAATGAGTGTGGATGTGAGTATTTTCTTTATGGAGACCCACACTCATACCTTTCTAAAGTTAGGAAAAAATTCACAAATTTGTGTTGATGAAGATGAAGTGTCTTCATCGAACTCGATGTAGTTTCTCGAATATAATCAGGATCAGAGTTTTACTGATCAAATTCTGATTAGAATCGGTATTATAGGTTTAAAAGACTACTATGAACTAGTCAAAGATAAACTTTCACTCTAAACTTTGATAAACAATTTTAAAATAAAAACGTTTTTATTCTAAAACAAGCACCTGGTGCACATCTCAATTTTTGCCACTTTAAGTGAATCTTTTAGCAAACAAAATTGTGAACTTATTAGTTTATGTTATCCTGTTTTGAATGAAAGTGGCACATATTAATGATAACAGCTTTTTTCATCGATTTTAGTTTCGTATTAATTGCAAAAGGTAATAGTAGCATCCAGCTTTGAAAATAAGATTTTAAAATTCTTCTAGTTTGAAATAAATCATTTTCGATAAGACTTATTATCGGGAAAAGTCGCTCAGAGGATTAGACTGGAGGGTATGAGTATGTGAATCTGAGTCTGGGTCTGCGGTGTGATCTAGATGTAGCTGTGGGGCTGAGTTGATGAAGACGAAAAGGACATGCGCACCCATCCCCACATCGTATTTTCTCTTAGGAATTTTTCGTTCTTCACTCTTTCTCTTTTGTCGAGCTACCTCATGAAATCTGACGACTACTGTTTGCACATAGATAGCCTTTGTTGCAAGTTTTTCTTTCTTTCTTTCTTTCGAAAGAAATACTTGAGCCACTTCAAAAAAAAAAAGAATGAAAAGTGAGACTACTATTGATAAAGAGTGCGCAAGAAAAATATTTCTTCCGAATGAGTTGACTCACAGTATACAAGACAAACAGCAAGACTGCCAGTTTTCTCTTTCAATAGAAAAAAAAATGCTTCTCATAAATTTAATTTTCACATTTGACAGGATCAAACATTGTAGTGGCGATATTCCTCTTTTTCTATGTGCGCACTAGTGTTTATGTGTTATCAACATGAAAGCTTGTGCTTCTACGACTTTAGCAACGGACGTAAGTGTGATTATACACTTGATTGATAGGAATATTCCGGCAGTCAGTATGAAGAATCACAATTCGTGAATCAGAATAACTAGTGGAACAAATATGCTGATATTCTTAAAAATAAATGAAAAGCTTGTCGATCAACTAAAAGTTAATCTATTTTTGGACTAATCAATGTTCTTTTTTGATATTACTATTTATTGTTACTTTTGAAAGCACTTACATAGACAGAAAATTAAAATGTGAAATTACTAGGGAAGAAAAAAAAGGAGTACGAAAGTAGGTGAAAAACCAAGAAGGAGCGAGAAATGAAAATGGTTCCGAAAAATATATTGTTGTAAAAAAGAGACCGTTCTTGAACCGATTTATATATTTGCCGGCTTCTATCTTTTATCTCTATAGTTTTTAGCATAAAAATTGAGAGAATCGTCGATTGTTACCGGGAATAAACTTTGTACTAGTGCAGATCTCAAGATATTCTCTGCGTACTTGTCTATGGTCTGTTTTAACCATAACTTACTAGTCCAAGTAAAACCTAGGTATTGAAAAGACTACTATTTCTATCTGTTCTCCATCTATGCATACATTTACTGGAGGCAACAATGCCTTTTTGGGAAATTTTATTAGTCGAAATTCCATCAGAAAAAAAGAGAATCCACCAAAGACGTACAAGGACAAAGATGTCTATGCTATGATCGATCAGCAACTATCGACATATAGTTCAATCAGAGGGAAATATGTGGAACTAACCGATACGATATGAATATGGAAGTACCATGTAGAAACATTGGGTTAGAATATGAAATCAAGTTGAACTGAATTGAAAGATTTTGTGTATTTGTAAGACGTTCCTTAATTATTCTACAGAATTCTTTTATTTAAGTCAACAAGAATAGAATAAGTATTGATTTGCATCGTGATTCTTTCTAGATCAGCTTGATATTAACAAACAGCGTGTTTTTTAGATCTTCGAATATGGGTTCGAAGCCGAGTTCAACGGCCAAAGTTAGTCCACTGTCGCCGTCTGAGAAACGAGGTAAAGGATAACGAAAAACAATCACACATTGAAATACAGTTTTATGAATTTCAGGTGCACAAAATATAAATCCAGGTAAGTCAGAAGTCTCAGCCGATGAAAAAGACCTCTTACTGGTGACAATAAATAGTTATGTATTTTGAATACAATTGATCAATAACAAAAGATATAATAATAGCATCGTCTTTCAACTGTTTTCTGATTAAAAAGAATTATGCTAAGTTACAGCTACATATGTAATATAAATAAGTACAATAACTCTGTACAATCATTATACAATTATCATGTGCTTCTTGGAGCATTCTGAAACGCGAGTTCTTAAGAAAAGTTCGAAAAAGCTTTGATATTATCTAATACGTAATTAGTTAGGATTTACATAACTAAAAATTACAGCGAATGTTTTCGTCACTATAAATCTGTGCTTCTGTTTCTACTTTTTGCTAAGACCATTGATTCAATCTTTATAAAAAGATTGATATTTCTAACTCTTTTTGAGAGTAAATTACAAGATATTTTAAAATCAAATTGACGACGTACTTTTCTTGTCTTCTATTACCTACCTTTAGAAAAACAGTGGATTAATCCTCAATACCATGATGATAAACGCACGAAAATTAAAAGACCTCATGAGGTTGAAAATGAGATGTGCAATCCACCAATGATGATTGCTAGAGAAGTGATGAATCGCGTTCATGGTTCTATGATTGGCATGGCTTTGGGTGATACTCTTGGTGCTTCTGTCGAATTTAGACCTCGAAAATATCTGCTTAAGAATCCAGTAACTGATCTCCAGAGTGGAGGAACATGGGGTTTACAAAAAGGACAAGTAAGATAGACTTATCTACTCTAATAAACATTGATTCAGAGAAGAACTCCTTTTGTCTACTCATCACTATAAATTTGATGACTGAAAGAAAGTACTAGAGAATTTTCTATTCGTTCGTGATTCGTACGAACTGAGATCTCGGAAAACATATCGATTGTTGATTTTATTGCAGTTTACCGATGATACTTCGATGGCATTATGCTTGGCTAGCTCACTGGTGACAAAAAGTAGTTTTGTTGCTTACGATCAATTAGTTCGTTACAAGCTTTGGTACAGACATGGATATATGTCGTCGACTGGAGAATGTTTCGACATTGGTAAAGCTACACGAAATGCTCTAGAAGAATTTGAGCGTCGGCAACAGAAATTTGCTAAGGAACACAATATTTCTCTTGATGAAATCGATCATATTGATGACCCACGTTTACTGAAAAATTTCAATACAAATTGTGGCGGTAAACAAGAAGCTGGTAATGGAGCGCTCATGCGCCTCGCACCTGTACCACTTTTCTTTCATCGAGATCCTGAAAAGGCTGTTCATTATTCGGGTGAAAGTTGCGGAACTACGCACGGACATGAGAAAGCTTATGACGCATGCCGATACTATGGAGCTCTGATTGTAGCTGCTCTCCATGGAGAGTCAAAAGAGGCATTGATGAGTCCAGAATTTTATGACAAGCACAGACATTGGTTTGGAAAGAAACCGCTTCATGATGATGTTGAAGCAGTTGCAAAAGGTTCTTATCGCAAGAAAGAAGGTTATGATGATGGTATTCGTGGAAAAGGTTACATTGTCACGACACTAGAAGCCGCCTTATGGGCATTTTGGGCCGATGAAAATTCATTTGAAAAAGGTGCTTTACTTGCTGTTAATCTCGGCGATGATACTGATACGACAGCCACCATCTATGGTCAATTGGCAGGCGCATTTTATGGCTACAATGCCTTGCCTAAAAAATGGATTCATCAGATTTATGCTAGAAGATTTATCGAGTATTTAAGCAAATGGATTGTCTATGAGGGAGATTCTTTTTCTAAATCTAAATCATAGCTGATGCTTTTTGAATGAATAAAAACCCATTTGAAACACTGAACATCAAAATCACTGATCGAGCACATACCTTTACAAGATAGAATGAAATTCCATGAAATTAATTAAAAAACTCAGATGATTCAATGGTTAGAAATTGTTTTCTACTTTCAAAGACTTTCTTACATCCCATAGATCGCGAGTTTATACTCACAGATTATTTATTTCTTTTTTCTTGTGTTAGAATCAGATATTCGCTTCTTTCACCTTAACTAATAAGAGTATTACCGTTTTTTCTGTCGTCTTGGAAATTATGGAGATTAGTAGAACTTCGTTCTGAATATGAATGCCTGTCTTCTATTTACTGGCATGCATCTACACCCCATAACCTTTACTAATTAGCATCGATAAATCTCATTTTTAACATGCTTTAAATTGGTATGAAATTTGTTATCGATGCTATTTGAAATCATCGCATAATTCCCTGTAAAAACAGACGTTTTCTTATGTATTTTTTAGTTTTATCTAAAGATAACTAATTTCTTTTATTTCATAAGAACCGACAGAAGCATCCCACGTGGCGGAATCCACGATCCTGAGAAGTTTTCATTTTTTTTCTAGAGAAATCTCAAAAGTTTTCCCATTCTTTTACTCACTGATTTTCAAAAAATGGCTCGATCATCCCGTCGTATGGTTGATTTTGGCAAAACTTTTTTTTATCGATTGCATAATCCATAAATACTCCGATTTCTTGTGACTTCACACACTTCTGAGATCAAATAAAGTAGAGCGCATCAGATAAATCATTTACTAAAAGAAATTCATATTTTCATGACGGTTCTATTCGATGAACTAGTTTTTGAAATAATGGTAGAGGACAACTCGAAGATTTTATCCAATAATAGGGATTTCTCAAATACTCTTACAAAATAGGACATTCAGGTTCAATACAGAACTGTAATTCTTTTTATTCAGATCAATTTCTCTTCATTTATAAACATCAAAACAGAAAATATTCAAGAAAAAATCGTGTATATTATTCTTTTTTGTATCTCGTAAGACGACTTTTTTGTGTATTTAACTATAAAGTGTTACTTATGAGAATATTCGAAATATCCACACTATTAAATAAAACGTTGAACATTTCTCTACTATTAGTACAAACCGAGTGTATCCAATAGGACTATGATCGAACTATAAAATTTTCTTTTTCGTTCATGACTTTCTGATTATTTCATATCTTTAATTCACATAAATAGTCTCAAAACAGTCTTTTCATTCAAAATATTCTCTTCTTAAATCATTCAATTGAATATCAATGTATGTAATTGCTATTTGATGATGACAATAAATGTACTATGGAAACTATATATTAGATTATTTATTCAACTATCATGCATTCTTCTTGTCCCGCTAGAATCTCTGATCTCTAATGGGAACACTGATGGGGGAAATTTCTACTTGCTGTTTTCTTCGAACATATATGTCCGTTCTACAAAATTAAACAATATTATAGCAATCTATGAATTTTAAAAGTCTCCTAGTCAGTTTTGAAATCTGACTTAGAATTAGTTCGATACAGGTTTTTACGAGTTATTTCTTGGCATTGATAGGTGAGCAATTTGTACTATTTAAAATATAGAGATGTGTATAGACAAAAGTTACGATTGAGATGAAAATCTCGCAAGATCAAATCAAATTTTGAAATTGTTTTTAGCTACTTGCAAAGTATCAGTGTGAGTAAAGAATAGATACCCATACCCTTCAAAGATGAAATTCTAGCAAAGGAAAGAAATACAAATATACAGATATTTGTGCGAATTTCTATGCTGCACATATTGGTGAGTAAGAACTGACCTTAGTTAAACTTCTCTTATTACCAACAATTTCAATTGCTAAAATTATTGTAGATGTCGTGTGATCATTTTTTATTATCTCACCGTAACAGAAGCAACATTTTCTTATTACTAGAATTTTCACCAGTTAAACAATGACTTTATCGCGTAGCACACTACTAATTCAACATCATTTACATATTTTCATATGCTAGTCTTATAATTTATACAGTTTATTTTTCATTATTATGTTTTTCAATTGGTATGTTAACGATTAAAATACATGATACACAAAGTATTCAAGCAAATTATATCTATTTCTATCTGGAAAGTCTTTCTTCAAAGTGCTATGACTGAATGGGTGTGAGTGTCTGTCATTTGTTAGTCACACCAACACTTACACCCTCAGACTTGTTCGTTTTCTTTGAAGCCCTTGGGAACAATTTCATTAAAACAGTCATGGCTATTTATCAGGAGTTCATGGAATATAATCATTTAAAGTTTAACTTAGCTTTTCTGAAACACACACGCAGTCATGGCATAAGGACGAGTAGTTTACAACTAGAGATGAGCATAGGATATGACATAAGACGACTGTGTGTGTCGTCCTGTCCTGTGCTCACCTCGGTCTTGAACACTGATATTTTCTCGTTAGTTTTTTATTATCGACTCATTAACTTGAGCCGGAAAAACCTAATGAAACATTAATAACAAAGAATTACTTAATTATCTGTTTCAAATTATTGAATTCTTTATTTTTATTAACAAAAGAAAAACGGGACAAACATTCATGAAAACAGTTTTCAAACTTTCTGTTATTTTGATCATGTTAATGAAATTAGTAGAGTCAACGTAATATTACTCTTTTTTCCGACGTGCTTTGAAACCATCAACTAATCTTTTTGCCAATCGACTAGAAACCTTATGATTGCATAGTAAATGACGTTTTAATGACATAAGTGGAATTGCTCGACATCGACATGGTACAGTTATTACATTTTGTCCAACATATCTTGTTGAATTAATTCGTCGATTTAGAAAAGGACATGAAACTTTATAAAAATGATCAATTACATTTTCATTTTCATCAAATAATTTTGTTATCGTAGGATCTTGATTATTGGCAACAGCTTGTATTAAACGTCGAGCATAGACTTCTTTTAATTGATGTTTACATATAAAATGGGCATATAATCCAATTCGACGATGTATTCTATGTTCACATAATTTAATAGAATGATTTGCTTTCGTAAGACCATATGCTCCATCAAATGTTAATGGACATACATCAGAAATATTTCTGTAAGGTTTTCGTTCATATTTCTTTTGCTCTTCATTTATTTGTTCATCCTGAAAAAAAATGTTGATTTGAATATAGAAAAGCATAACAATCAAACTGAATTAATATAGTATTTGACTGAAAATTGGACTTTCCCATGAGGCGAAGTTTTTTTTTTATTGAAAGTGTTTAAATTCAAAAATTCTCTAATTTATGTGTACAATAATAATCTTGTCACTACGTTTAGAGTAAAACTTTATCGAGAAACATCATTTCCATGATTTCTAATGTAAAATGAGAAGTTTTAAATTAGGTCTTTTCAAATGCCAAAAACATTAAAGCTGCAAGAAACAAATAGAAGTACTCTAATTTGCAGAAAATCTCTTTTTTCTGCGATAATACAGAAGAAAAACTGTTGAATTCCGCCAAAATTTGATCTGTCGACTCAGATCTTCTCAAGACTTGGTTTCATATTTATGAAGTGACGCTATTTAGAACTTGTTTACTATTGTTTCTTTTTAACTATGACAATATTTTTAATATATTTCAATTCAAAAACTGACTTTATTGACTCGTCTATCTATATAATTATTTTTACCTGAATAGATTTCGTTATTTCGCTAAAAGAAAAACAAAAAATGCAATCAATTTCGAAACTTTTCTAATAAAAAAAAAGAAACTTACTCAAATGAACCAGTATCAATAAAATCATGATTGGTATCCATTGAATATTCATCATCTTAAATCAATTATGTTTGCTTTTCTTTTTTGAAGTTATAGATTAATTTAACTTACCTTTTGAGATTTTAAATTCTTCTACTACATCTAAACATACACAAAAAAACTTATATTTAAAAGGCTTCTTTTTAATCCTACAAGGATACTATCTGAATTCTTATTAGAGGTCAACAATAAAATTAGCTAAGTATAGAAAAAAAAGAATTCAAAGACGTCGATTGATTAATTTAATGATCATCAGATTTATCTATGTACATTTGCAGATTGAAAATTCGGTACATTAACTGTAGCTAAGAAATTTCCTCGTTAGACACTAGTTTCTATGAGTCCATCGAAACAGACAAAAATAAATACAATGAAAATAAAAACAAAATATTTTACCATTTGAATTCATGCTTTCCTTATTACATTTACAAACACAAGAACAATATTTAGTTTCTGATAATGATGGTTCGACTTTGACCGTAATTTCTTTAAGAAAAAAGAAATATATACAAAAAGAAAAACCGATTATCATATTTAGTTTTTACCTGAACGATTTGATGCTATTGTTTGATTAATTTGTTCGAAAATATTTTCTAGTTCATCAATTGAACTACTGGATACATCAAGAATTTTTTTTGCTTGTTCAATTAAATGTTGTTCACGTCCAATAATCAAGAATTTTTCTTCAACAATTAATTTTAATGTATTTACAATTGTATTTAATTCATTACGAAGACTACCTAATCGTCCTTTATTTTGTTTTGTTATTTCAATATGTTCAATTAAATGATTTAAACAAATAAGACGTGAACAACAATGACATTCATATAATTCTTTTATTTCACCATCACATGTTATATCAGTACATGAACCTATTTCGGGCATTTTTGAAAAATAAAACAAAGAAATAAGAATGTTTATATTTGCAGTATTCACTGAGATATGATATGCTTATCACTATGAACGAAATGTTGAAAATAATTGACTGACTAATAAACACATGCATAAGAAAGAAAAAGAAAAAGAAAAAGAGAAAATAAGAGAATCCAAGGCATAATGTTATCGTCTTTTGTTTTATCGAATAAAATAGCTTGACTACTAGTCAACAGATATGGATGGTTCATCATATGATTTCCTTAACGAAATTTTACTGATGAAAGAGCATGTTAAAGGATATAGAAATTCAGAATTTTAGCCTTCTCTAAAGCAATATTCAACAAATATGAAAGTAGCATTGAAAATATACTCAAAGAATTCTAATATAAATATCATACTATTTGTAACCTTTGTTTTTCTAAAAAATTTAATTACATTAAATTAAATAATACTTTACAATTCGAATCAAATTTTACTCCACTACACTGAATGTTTATTAAACTTATCTAGTTTATTCTGTCTTCTATTGATAAAAGAAACATAACAAAAGAGCAGTGGAAGGACGAAGATAAGAATGAGTAATGAACAATACATGACCAAAGACATTTATATGTGCACTCGAAAGAGAGACAGAGAGAAAAAGAAGAACACAACGGAGGCAATGATGATACAATAACTGCACATATCTATAGAGAGTCAACATCTGAAAGCAAAGCGACAACACATCGACGAGTAAAAGTTTCAAAGAGATAAAATCTGTAAAAGTCAGAAATATCGAATATACGAAATCTCACAGTGCAAGAATAGAAAAATTCAAAATATAGACAATGTTGGATAAAAGGAATGAGACTGTTGGAAATTTTTCGATGTTTCATTTTCTAAGAATTTACTTCTTTTAAGTGAAAGAATATTTAGAACTTTTTATTCTTCTAGAATAAAATTTTGCGACCAAGAAAGACAATACTTGTGAATATTCTTCAGTATCGACTCCTGCATTATCAAATCAAATTGAAAATCTTTTCAATGTTGCTAACTTGTGAAAGGTTGGCAAATTTCATAGGAAAAATATCATCTAGAAAGAAATAAAAGACATCCCAAGTCGATCAAGGTATTTATTGAAAAAGCTTCGAGTCGAATCAATTGAGCTGCGGGGAAGAAAGCTTCATGTTTTCGTCTGAAAATTTGATTCTAAGAAGAACGTACTTTTTGACTTTTTTTAGTGTAAAATTAAGTTTTTGTTTTTCGAATTTTGAACTTCTAACGAGATGGTTTTATCTTCTTGAAATATGCTCGTCAGATAGAGGACATTTAAATCGACATACCCAACATAAAAAAAATGAAAAACGAAAGAGATGAAAATTTTGGGTTGGAAAAGGGAAGAAGATCTCCTTATAGATCGGTTTCATATGAGTTTAAGATTTTTCTACCTCTTCGAATTGACTATCAAAGTTGAATCAATTACAGATAATTATCAGAAATTGACTTCAAATTATTGATGTTAACAAGTAAAATAGATCAATCAATATTAAAATCAAATGAATTGTGTCTTTAAAGACTAAAAAATCAGATTAAGATTAAAATAGTATCATTTCAATCGATTTTTATTTCTTTTTGCATGAGCTATTTTTTCCTTCATTCTCTGCATATAATTTCCGCTTTTCTTTTATTTAATGACAGTAAAATGAATGAACAATGTGATGTGTGTGAATTTACATCTACCACCTTAATGTCGATATGTATTTTTTTATGAATTGCTCTCCGTTGAGTTGATTGTCTTTTGATATTTATTCTCTGATTCTCTCTTTCATATATATTGTGTGAAGATCAATAATAACATTATTAATAATCTGGTTAAGAAAATGGTGACTTTAATTATTCAACTAGACTCTCGAAAGCCTTTCTGGATTTTGGACACGCTCATCTGACAATATTGTTGTATCTCACTGGAAAACCGTTGAACTCAAATTAAAAGTTCTATCGATTCTAACCGATTTCGGCTGCAATCGGTTGATTCAGTTTGGTTTTTAACCAAAACGATTCCATCTCCGATAACAAACAAGCGAACTCTTACAGCAAGTATCATCGACTGAACAGCAACTATTGTTGCTTGATACTATTCAATGATATAAGTTTTATTCAGGATAAATTTTTAAGATTAAGTTCAATCTTCTTTCATAATATGAAAGACTGCTGTTCATTTAGAAATATAATGTGTTCCACTGTTTGTTGAATAACTCAAGAACGCAAACAGCTAGACACCTGCGATTTTCATCAATCGAAAGAGAAGACAGAGGGATGTCCTTTTCTCCAATATTGTATCAGATGAAATCATTTTTGAAAAATCAAGTATACTATGTTGTAGCGCAAGTCGAGACGCGTCGAATGCTACATAGTAAATCTGATTTTCATAAGATTTTGAGGAAACTAGAGTCAATTTACTGATAGATGAGGATGTGGGTGTAGATGTGTATCTGAGGATTTCTTTCATCCATAGCCCACACCCCACCTCAACCGAGATATCTAAAAAATGCTGTGGTTTTTGCTATTTTATACAGCTTTCGACTACCTTTGTATTCTTTTTGATTGATTATCCATAATCTTCGAGATGGTCTCTGTAAGATTGTCAAAAAGAATCCTGTGATTATATCGGAAAAACTAGACAGTCTAGTGAAAACTTGAAAAAATTTTATCTTCTATCTATTTAGCAGAAACTGTAAATGCGTCTCTTTTAAACAAATCGAAATAGTTTTAAATAATGAATACTTAATGTTTTGCTCATAAATAAAAACTTTAGATATTCTTTTCTATCATTAAAAAAAAACCTAATTGCCTGATTCGATCATAATACAACAGAGATATACAAATTATTTTTACTCGAGTGGCTCGTCTAGCACAACATATATGATTTGATTCGATAAAAATGAGTAGAATATGATAATGAATCAATTCAAGATGATATGATTTATCGGTGGACCACCATCCAGTTTTAACACAATTTGGTTCTTTTTCTTGTAGGAAAAGGATGATCGCGTTAATTCTTTATTCATAAACAAAAAAATATCAATACATACTTATCTTACAAGAAAGAAACTTGAACTTCTACATATTTGGAAAAGAAATGATTGTATTTTTTTTTGCAAATAGTACAAAGTTACTTGTTCTTCTCAAATAATCAACTGATTTGATTCAAAACAGAATGGCGATTTGTAACTTTTTCGCCATTGTCAACCCTCTGCTCTATCTCGATTTCTTTTTTTCCTTTGTTTTTTTTTTAATCAATCACAAGAGATGTAGAAACTGATCAATAGAAAAACAGTATTGAAGTATTATGAGCACGTAGAAAGTGAATGAAGATTTAAACCTAAAAAGATAAGTTATATTCAGTCAACTGAACAGATGAAAATTTTCTAACTATGAACAACGAATACGATGAGTTAAGAGCTCAATTTTGTTTTCTCCTTATTTTTACATTAGATGTTTCTGTATGTACGTATTTCTATATATTCATCCAACACCTCAATATAGGAAAACTCATGATGGTTTCAAGCTGCTTACAATGAGAAATTTCACAAATTTTTGTTTCATTATTTTTAATAGGTTTATATTTTTTTTTTCTAAATAAGTTATTAAATATCTATATAACATTTTAATTGATTTCATTTAATTTAAATAAATTCGAAGAAATCGAAGGATGAACAATGTATAAAATGAAACTTCGAGAAAAAAAAGCACCATTCCACTGAACATTAATTAATTAGAGTCACCATCCACTGGACACATCGTTATTTCTCGATATTTTCCTCTTTCGATAGTTTTTCACTTCAATATTTTTTTCTTTTGAAATTCTCCTAGCACACCAACATGTTAACCGGTAGTATTAAGCTTTTTTCTGTCTCTCTTACTAGAAGATGATGAACGACATTCGTTGAATTACTATATCATTCTTCATTCAATCGATACACACCATTTGATATATTATACAGTATAAAAGTTTAATTTCGAAAAGGATGTGGGTGCGAGTCTAGGATATACATGCGTGCATAAGAGAATAGGAAATCGTATTACACACCCAGATCAGATATGCAGAATCTGCCGCTGAAATGAAAAACTGTAAGATTTTTCTCTGAAAGGAGAAAATAATGGATGCTTCATAATAAATGACTCATTTTTATTTCCTATCTTTGAAGTATTTGAGAATTATTTTAAGTTTTGGTTATTTCAGTAAATAAAGAATTTAATTTTCTACAAAAATATCGACTTTGTTTTTTTAAATAGATTTTTCGTATCACAGCAAAATTAGCAAGATTAACATCTATTCAATCGTATGAGTATAAAAATCAAAAAAGCGAAAAAAAATTATAGAAAATTTTTAGGAACAGATTTGTTGAAATTTGAAATACACTATAATATTCGACACAAAGTTTTGCATCTTGTGGTGTAATTTTTAAAGTGCTAGAATGAATATTTGAGAGGAAAAATTTCGAAATAGAAAATATCGAAGCACTAGAGAAATCTGAGCTATTGTTTTTGCCTGATTCAAAATAGCCTAAATATTTCAACTATTCTAGTGAATACTTGCACCATTTTGTTCAGAATTTAATTATGCATCCGATGGTATAAGAATCAGCAGTTTATAGGGCAAGTCTGACTTGTGATAAGATAATTTCTCATAATGCAATTTATAAATACTATTAAATGTTCGCAACTTAGAAAATACTTAGCTTTTAGCATCGGCCTTGATGAGCACACACTGACACAAATCGTTTTTATCTGTAGCAACATAGGAATTCGCAGTTTGACAAGTTAATAGGTTTTAATCTTATGAAGTTTATGCCTGAGTGAAAATTCTCTCTGAAAAACAAAGTTGGTAGTTTTGTAGAGAATTAAATTCTCTATCCAACGCGATCAAAACTAAAATTTGAACAAGTGTTAAATGTCTCAAAGATAGAAAATAAAAAGAGGACACGCATTATGGGACATCTATTATTTTCCGAAAAATTTCCCCGAATGCTAATAAATTTTCAAAATTTTCCCCGAACGTCCGTTCGCGCATGCGGCTAGATTCTGCATCTCTGATCCAGACCTACACATAAGCTCATCTACCTTTTGGACGTGTGGATGGTGGGTGTGGGTGTATTCATTAATAAAGACCCACACCCACACCCACACCCTTTAAGAATTTTTGTATCTATCTGATGATTTGACGGTTCCAGTTTTTTGGAAGCACCGAACTCTATCTGGAAGAAGGGAGGTTACAGTCGAAGCTGAACAGCTTCCAACAAATGGGAAAGGTAAATCGAACACATATTGACGTTCCAAAAGTTCTTAAGAATTTTTTCCGTGTTTTGGCTGATTTTTTTAACTGCATTTGTAAACTATTTTTATATAGGAATTCTATAGTGTTTCATTTTTTTTTGGCTAACAAGTACTCACGGGGAAGGATCCAATATTCAGATCCCATTAGACACTTTCGAAAAACCTCTCGGGTCAATTTTTATTAAAGTCTGATTATTCGACAGTGTCGATGTCTAGTTAATAGGATTCTGTTAAAATCTGACAAGATCTTTTTGAAATTATTAGGATTTGATAGAATGCAACAGTGTATGCTACATCTGGACACGTATATGGTTCAATACAAAACAAGACAGTACAGTTACTTAACTAAATGTTTTCTCAAAACCATTTTTTAGAACCGAATGTTCAGGGAAGGGAGCAGCCAAAACTAGAAAAGTCTAAACTAGGGAGAGAAACGAGTAAAAACTAAACGTTTTTTAGCCAGACGTTCTTTATGGATACTATCGTTGTCGAAAACAAGGTCATTCCGTTTCATTATTTTCACTTCCTTTTTTGAGAGAAATAATGCGTTTTCTTTCATAAATACGAGAACATCAGATTTTAGATGCTTATTCTCGAAATATGATTCATAACTTTTACATAAAGTATTACAATTTTGCCATATTGATTTCCATTTTTGAGTTAGACTAATATAAATTGTGTTATATGATTAGAAGAAGCTTACACTCCAATATAAGCACATCAGTTTGTCATATATACTACTTCAATGAATATATTTCTTACCTTTGAGATTATTAAAAATAGTTCCAATTTTTCTAAAGCTTAATTATTGAAATTAGGTATCCAACGGTTACAGCGGTGTACCATGCCTCCGGTACTCTGATATTACGTACAGCTTTGCACTGGTCAGAACATGTACGTATAGATCGTGAACGCATGATAAAACTATGTTAGTCATGAGTTGATTTCGATTTTTTGCGATCACGAAGGCCATTTCAAGAAAATAGCTAACTTTTATAAAAATAGACTAAAGATAATAAGGACCTATGGATTTTAATTAATAGGAAGTTTGTTGACATTCTCGAGTTCGATTTTCTCGTTCGAGAATGATTTAGTCAAACATTTGTGATTTTTAAGGACAATATCTTCATAATAAATGAAAAGATAACAGCGGCTTTGTATACCATCAATGAACATTTTCTTTTACAATAAAAACACAATTATTTGATGTTTGCATCCCTAATTGAAATATTGAGCATTAAATTTTACAGCAACAAATCGTTACATTGAATTCATTTGAATCAATAGTAGATTTATTGTTTTTCTATTTATTCTTTAAAAAAAAATGAATATGAATATTTTGAAAATAAATCAAACTGTTATACAAAACTAGCTAACTCTATTATCATCTATCTAAAAAATTTAATCAAATATTATAGTTACAGCAAGTTTTTTTGGTTTAATCGTATCCGTAACATCATATCCTCCAGCATTAAGTTCAGGTCCACCATCACCAAATGTAACAAATTGCATAAGTCTAGCGCAAATAATTTTTAATTCAAATCGAGCTAAATCTTGACCCATACATTGTCTATGTCCACCACCAAATGGCATTAATGCTGATAGATTATTTTTATTTTCCGGATCATTTAAATATCGTTCAGGATGAAATTCATTTAGATCATATAAATCTGCCCAATAACGTTTATCTCTTGCTAAAGCATAAAATGAAATCATAACTGAATCACCTTTTTTTAATTGAGCTCCACTTTTAGGTAATTGATCGTCTGTGGTTAACGTTCGAGTAGTACCTCCTATTGCTCCTGCTAAACGGAATACTTCACGAAGAACACAATCTAAATAAATAAGTGAATCCATTTGTTCAATTGTAAGACGTTGACCATCATATTCAGAAAGTTCTTGTTTTATTTTCTTTTGTATTTGTGGATTTTTACTCGTAAAATAAATAAACCAAGAAAGTGCTGTCGACGTTGATCCATAACCAGCTGCAAGAAATGCAAGCATTTCTTGCATAACTTCAATTCGAGAAAGTCCTTAAATAATTATAATTGAAAAAGATCATTTGATTGTTTCTTTTTTTGAATCATTATTAAAGAATCTACCTCGTTTCTCTTCTTCCGGTTTAGTTGCTTCAAGTTTTTCATCTTCTTGTAAAGAAGTAACTAATGACGCAATAAAACATGTTCGTTTACGTTCTGTTCTCATTTCTATTGGTGTATTTAATTCTTGTTCAATCATATTTTCTAAATATCGATCAATAATAATTCGTGCTCGTCGTGCTTTAAAATTTAAAAAACAAAAAATTCGACCTAAAAATGTTGGTAATTGAAGTAATGTTTGCATGGTATTTAATAATGAATAAAATGCTTGCGTCAATTCATTTTGACTGTTTTCTGAATTATCATCAAGTGTTCCTAAATCATAATTAAAAGCAATAAAACCAAATATAGCTAATAATAATTGTTGTGATTGTTCTATCATATTCAAATGAATTTTTGTTGGATTATTATAATGAATACGCCATCTATCTAATAATCTATCAGTACAATCAATAATTGTATCTAAATGAACAAGAATTTTTCCACGACGAAATAATGAACTTATTACACTAGCATGTCGTTTAAATTTAGCACCTAGAATTATTTATTTTTTAATAAGAAAATTAATTTCGGTTTTTTTTTTCTAAATTTATATATTAACCTTTCAAGCAAATAATTCCATTTGGATTGATTAATTTAAATTTTTCAGTAAAAAGATCTCCTTGATCATAAATATGTCGATGAGAAAATATATATTGTGCATCTTCAAGAGAATTAATCATAATTAAATGAGTAAAACCAAACCAAAATTGATAGACATCACCAAGTTTATCTCGTAGTTGTGTAATAACATCTGGCAGAGATACTGGTTTGCGTGAAAGTATTCCAAATTGAAGTAAATTACCGAATAAAAATTGGGGTGGAATACCTGGTATTGGACCACGTAATGTAAAATAGACAGATTTTAAATAATAGTAAACAACAGTTAAAAACAGAACGATGATAGCAAGCGTTATCGAAAACATATTTTTGTCATATGAGTGTATTTATGTACGGCATTTATGACATAAATACGTGCTGATACAATACGTTCTCTTTCTTTTCTCTACAAATGATTGCGTTCTATGGGTGCCATCGAAAGTAAAAGCATGCCTTTATCTATTGGTTTTTGGATTAAGGTCAGATTGAATTTATATCTGATATTGAAGAATATTTTTGTTATTTTTGATAGATAATTATTTATAATATATTTTTGTTTCTCCCTTCTGTCCTATTATAATTTATCATCTGAGATAACAGCTGAATAAGTAATGTCACCGAAATTATGACATAGTAGTAGTATATTGCTTTATTTATCATAAGAAAGAGAAAAATAAATAGTATCGTAGGGAATAGGAGGCAGAAAACTTACACGGACATCGTTTCTGCAATCTTACAAGAAAAACTAAGTAAGAGTACATTTACACTATATGAAAAAAAAGCAGTAAACACAGAATACAGTAATAATGAAGATAAATTATAGAAGATTAGACAACATGGCATTTTTTTTATTTTTTCCAAGCTGTCACTTTTAAGCAACATTTCAATAGTTATATGTATAAATATTTAACATAATAGAAATCGTTTCTACGCTTATATCTTCAAAAGTTCCTTATTTTTTTTTCTTACGTAAAACAAAATATTTGATTAAAAAGAAATTGTTTACAAGATGATAGCAGTTATTGTATACGATTTGATGTTCTTCCTCTTGTTACAATCGCTTGCTTTTCTTTCAGCAAAATAGGATTCGAGAAATATTCTCTCAAGAACAACAGATATAATTTTTGTTGAATAAAATCGGCAATAACTAAAGGATTAGTACGAATAATTGTGGATAATAATTTTGTGAAATGTATTCATGTAAGTAATTCTATTGATTTATAAGCTGAAAGGTTGGTTATTTCATCGTTCGTAGCATCATGTCATGTATGTATGGTATGAAAGATTTTACGATTTAATGGTTTCATTTGTTGTTGTTTTGTACGAGATAATATTGGGTAAATCTTTAAAACAGATTGTTAATATGGACGAATATATGCATAATATAATCGATACGAAATTTCCTGTGATAACATACGACTAATAGATAAACATTTGTTAACTACCATATTTTTATTAATTTTTGACTTGATGTAATCGAGATAATAATTGAAAGATAATCTAGCATTGAGAATAACACCAAAATATTTAAATTTAGAGACTTATTTGATGATGTAGTTTTCACAATAAATAACAGGCTTAGTTAATGAAATTTGCCTATAAAAAGAGTTCAGTAGGTCTTTTTGAAGTTTAATAGTTGTTTCCAAGTAATTACATAAGAATATAATTCTTTGATTACATTGAGGATTTGTTGTAAAAGATATGGAATCAGTAGTTTTGATGACCAAGTTGCTGATGGTGAAAGAACAATAATCAGATCATCAGCAAAGAGATATTTAAAGTGAAAATTTGATACTGTATTCAATATATCATAATGAAAAACAATATATAATACTGGGTTCACTCACGAATCCTGAGGAACATCTTTAAATAATGGAAAATAATTTGACTTAGTACCTTTGATTTCTATATACGCTGAACGTCCCAATGAATAGTTTCTTAACTACGCAATAGTGTAGATAAGGCAGTTAAGGCACTTAAGCTTGATCCAAAGACCTTTAATCCAGAATTAATTAAAGGCGGACTTAAAATCGATAAATAAAGCAGCTGTAGCTGTATTTAATGCAAGATCTTATCCAATTTGATCAATAATCGACACGATTCTGGTAGACATGTTTTGTCCTGGCCTAAAATCTGTCGGTTCTTCAAGTAGAATGCCATTATCTAAAATCCATTGACGAAAATGTATTAGAAATAATTTCTCATAAAACTTTGAAAAACACGGAAGTAATGAGATTGGACGAGCATCTTTTATATCCACTATTGACATTTTTCTCTTGGACAATAGTATCATTTTTGCAATAAGCCAATGTCAAGGAAAACATACATTTTGAACCATATAATTAAAAGATGAAGGTAGAAGTTTTATAATTCTATTTGATACATCATCTAATCCTGTGGAATTATCATATAATTATACTTTTGTGCAGCTTTTTCCATAATATGCATGTTTGTTTCCTTGTTTTGACAATCGCATGGATATTTATTTAACTTAATCAATGAAATTATTTCTCATTTAAAAGATGCTTTCCTCTTTTGACGATATTATAGATTTAAAATTCATGGATGCTTCTCTGTACGAAACATTGGATTTATAAGAGCATAAAATGGCTCGGATTATCACCCTCCCTTTCTCAACTACAATACATTTGATAGAGCTAAAAATATCTTTACATATATCAGACATTATCTGGATCGCCTACTTGTTTTGCTTTCATTCGAACAAAAACATGAAAACAGTGACAGCATCCTCAAAAATGCATGGTTTTTTTACTGGTATTTCAATAGAAGCTTTTTGTGTGAGACCTAGCAAAATTCAGCGGTATGTCATCTTTTGAAACAAACAAAGAGCATACACCGTAAGCACTTTTTAATATAACTAAAAGAAATTTTCCATCTGATCAGATGCACTGTAATTGAAGAACAGAAGCGATTCTTCACTTTTTTTTTCTTGAGAAACCTATTTGTTACAAACAAGGAAATAACGTGTAAATTCTTAGCTTTTCCAGCAAAAATAGTCCATGTTTTCCAGTTTTTCGGCTTTTATAAGTACATATTAATTCTTGGAATATGCCTAACGTATAGACGATGCTTCTAAGCGTATATAAAACAGAAAAAAAAATCAATGAAAAATCTAAAAATTTTTGATCGCAAAAGAAAGGAAGGTTCTCTTATGTTTATGGTTTTATTAAATGTACATGATATTATATATTATTTTTCATACTAAACCAATTAAAATATTACAAAATCAATAATGAAGAATATTTGCTAGTGATCTCTAACAATCTATACTGGATTAATCATGACAAAAAAAAGTACTTTTGAATT